GTTTGCTGTCGCATTTTATTTGTAGTGTGAACAAGCAGACAAAAAAATCGGATTTGATCAAAAAATCGGAATTGAGCATTAATACCTGCAGTGTGAACGTAGCCTTTGTTACCATCCGACCACACTTCCCCAATCTGGACGACATTCCGATGTCCTTGCTATAGTTCCTGGTGGTGTTGATCAGTGAATCGATATCTCATTCCCTCTTGGCATACAGCTTGATATCATCCATGTAGAGGAGGTGGCTGACGATGCTCCATTCCATAGTTGGTATCCATAGCCAGTCTCGTCATTGGTTGTTCGCTGGGAGTTGGATGGGACTCATTTCTTCTGGATGTCCTTGGGGATCAGGACTGTCCAGCCATGAGTTAGCCATTCTGGGTATGTCTCATTAACTAGTAGCTGGTTCATTTGTATTGCCACATGCTCATGTAGTACAGTCAGCTTTTTCAGCCAATAGGCATGAACTATGTCATGGCCTGGTGCTGTCCAGCTGTTCGTACTGGAGACCCAATCTTGGATGTTTGCCACTGTGATGGTTACTGGTCCCTGTTCAGGGAGGTTGCTGTGGTCTGCTCTTGGATCCTCTAACCAGTGAGCATTTCGATTATGGGTTGCGTCCTTTTCCCACATGCTCTTCCAGTATTGGTCTGTCTCCAGCCTTGGTGGAACTGTTCTCATATTATTCCCCTGCCAATGAGAGTACACCTTGGATGGTTCTGTGGAGAACAGCTGGTTTATTCTCCTGCCTTCTATTTCTTTGGTATACCTCTTCAAGTGGCTGGGCAAGGCTGTGACTCTTTGCTTGGCAGTTTCCAAGACCCCAGGTATGGACAGCTTGACGTACTTCTTAGGCACCTTTCTGCAGCTCACCTAACCCTATTTCAATAATAAGATTGCATCTCTTTTTTTCAGTATCAAAGTATATAACCATTAATTAAAAACAGTCTTGGGAAGGTGACATTCCACTACAGTTTACAGAATACATGCTGCAAAATGTATTTTGTAACGTATTCCGTTAAATTACTCAATGAGAGTAACGTATTCTGAATACTTTGGTTACTGAATATATTATCAAGCTTTTTACAACTACTTGAATGTACTATTGCTGTGTGAATTATTACTATTACTGAAGGATACTCGCCACATCAATACCAACTAGATTTTTAAATCTTAATATAAAATGAGTGACAGTAGGGTGGACATTAGGTAAGGCTGCACTTTTTGCAGCGATCTCGTGTAGAAAACTATTCAGCGCGTATATAAAACAGTTCCATGGCTCCGAACCATAGTAAAGGGACCTCTGGCTAATATGTTGGTTCCGTGTCAGGCCCGTAACCAAAAACTAGCTTTACTTTGTTTTTTGGGTCAACTTTGCCAGCGTCAGACAGAGAGAGGCATTGAAAGGCTGCTCCAGTGGAACTTACTGTTTAGGAGAAAAACACGAACACAGTGTACAGTCAAGTCTTAATAGCTTACTTACAACTGGGCTATAATGCCCATGAGGCTAGAGTCTTTAGGGCTATGCCTGTAACACTCTGCCTATTGCCTTCACATTAAATTATTTTTTTGAACAATAATTTTAAAAAATATTATATCACGTCATTATGCGGGCTGCAAGTAGAGGTGACAGGGGCCACGAGATTGAGACACAGGCATTTGAGCCTCTTATTGCGTGTTTTGTTTGGGTTTTCACAGGCGTCGAATTACCAAAAATAGAGAGGGGACAGCCTAACATATGAAACAGGAAAAGACCGCAGTGTAATCTCTATTTCAACAAAGTAACTGTATTCTGAAGACCACCTTTTTAAACGGTAACTGTAACGGAATACAGTATTTTAAATACGTAATGGTGGTACATGTATTCCGTTACTCCCCAACACTGATTAAAAATAATTTATGTACATGTAGCCTTTTAGTGATTGCTGTTTTTTTTTTTTTTTTCTTATGAACAAATCTATTGAAGGTGTTACTCATGAGATGGCCAGCACTCTAGATATCCTCCCCACATTGGCGCGCCTGGCAGGGGCTGAACTACCACAGGTGATGCTGGATGGGGTCGATATGACGGATATCCTTGTTAAACAAGGAAAGGTAGGAGCATTGTATTTAAAGTTGTGCAAACACTCAAATAATGGAAAAACCAAGCTCATGTGTGTATTTTCTCTGTGTTTTACAGAGTAAAAGGGAAGCCATGATCTTCTACCCTGTAGATCCCAGTGAAAAATATGGCCTCTTTGCTGTAAGGCTGGGAAAATACAAGGCTCACTTCTATACACAAGGTACTACGTGTCATATTTTGAATATTGCAAGTTTACACTGTCACAAGTTTTAGTTGGTCTTAATTCCTGCCTGTTCATGTTTGTACATCAGGTGCTTTCCACAGCAGTACTACACCAGACAAAGACTGCCCAGAAACAGCAGTCTTCAAGGCTCATGACCCTCCTCTGATATTTGATCTGGAGGCTGACCCATGTGAGCATTATGCTCTGCCAGTAGATACACCTGACATCCAATCTGTGCTGCAACAGGTCAAGACAGTTAAGGAGCAATTTGAATCCTCCATGGTGTTTGGAGAGAGCCAAGTGGCAAAAGGAACAGACCCCAACCTCGAGCCTTGCTGCAACCCTGAGTGTAGCCCCAAACCTAGCTGCTGTCAGTGTTGATGAGAAAAACTGTTACAGCTTGAGGACTGAAGGGAAAGTTGGACTAAAGTGCTGCTCTCCTGTGGAGAGTTTTAATTACTGGAAATGGAAAATGAATGTAAAGTAAATGTGCTCCCTTAGTGAGGAGATGATTTTCTCAAATTAGATACTGTTAAAATTATAACTAATGTTTAACAGTGTACTGTATCATCTTTCTTCTGTGCTGTGAGTATTGTTTTATTTGATTTCTAATTTCCACTCAAGGAGTTCTTGGTAAGCCCTTTTCACTCATAACATCATGAGTTAACTAAACAATGAAGACAACAATAAAGTTTCAGACATCAATCATATATTTTCAAGATGTATTTTCAAACCCATGAAAAGGCAAGTGATTTTTTTGTTTCCGTTGAAACTCACAAGTCTTTGTTTTGAAAGATACAAGATCAGATATGTTGTTCTGTCACATACTTTTTTTCATTTACTCGCAATAAAAGGTCGGAGCAGTTTACTAAAACACAATGCAGGCAGCCTGTGTAGTGCATAGACTGTCATTTATCCATAGTGGCTCTCCTGCTTCCTCTCTGTAACTCATGGAGAACAATTAGATGGGTCTGGAAAACACCCTCAAATTTATTATTAGTTATGGCAAACATATACCAGTCATTACTGAATATTTGTTTCTAATGATTTTTAATGATGCTATAGGTGCTCCATTAGCTCTACCAGACTAATGACTGACTCATTGTTTACCTGAGCTGAGCATGACAGCTTGGCTAGATTTTTCTTTTTGTCTTAAATATAACATGAACACATTTGATGGAAAAGCAGGGGCATCGCTGCCTCCTTCCAGGGTTGTTGTTCCCTGCAGAGATTGTTAGAGTGCTCTGTGTTGGAGAAGATTAGATGAAGAGAGCTGCTGCAGCAAGGTACTTTTTCAAAATCTCTCACTGACTGTTGTTTTCTTTGTTTTTCCATCATCCAACAGCTTGTTTCTCCCTTAGGTTAGCACTGTACAGAGATGTGAAAGTGAATGATAAAGCAAAGTATCTAGTTCCCTAAGATGGCAACAATGGTGCAAGACAGCACGCAAGCTAACTGATAGACATATCACGCACACCATTGTGTATGAGGACTTCTGAGAAGTTCATAATGACTTGGTCAAACAATGCTTGCATAACCCTAGACTTTCCTAAACTCCATTGTGTAAAATGTAATAATTTTATGTGACTGGGACTAGCTTTCTAACCTCCATTCCGACTTCCCTCCATCACTATCAAAAACATTACCTTCCTCCTCACACACAGACTCACACGCACAGTTGTCTGTATGCAGAACGTACAGCACATATTAAATGCTCCCATGCCATGTGTTTCTTCTTTTCACATGATGCCAGCTTGATTACATGCAGGTAGAGTCGCACTTATGTTTTCCTGTCCACCTCACAGAAGCATGTATGTGAAAATACATAAAAAAAAATAGCTCCTGGTACTCTCTATCATCATCAGAAAATCAGCTGCCACATTCATTTGGATGGACAGGGGGATACATACTGGACTTTGAGGATAGAAACAAAGTATCGAAAAGCGTTAGTATAGATCTGATACTGATACAAGTGTTGGTATCAATACTATCGATATTTGGATCAATCTACCCACCTCTATACTTTAAAAAAATTCAGCAAGAGGGCTACATGTCACCAGCAGCTTCACATTTTCTCTCTCTATAGCTGGATGGTGCAAAAGGACTAGCAGCTCCTGTCCCTCTCCTCCTCCCTCAGTTTGCCTCATCATCATTTTCTGATATTATAATTTACTTTAGAATAGAATAGAATGCCTTTATTGTCACTATACAGTTGTACAATTTGTGGCCTTGCAAAATGTTTCAAATACCGCGTCTTGGTTGTTTGTAGAGCTGCAACAGGCCCACACGCGACTCCTCTCGTGGTTATCAACTGAGTGAAGAGCCGTGATGCATTTATACAGCCGTATTTCGCACATCACTATGACAGGCGGAAGAAGAAGTAGTTCCTGCCAATCATTTAGACAGTCCCAATAATATAGTTACTTTCCACTGTGTTCCTATTAATCACAAATTACAAATTTACCACAAATTTCCTAAATATCGATATTTTGAAATAAGAACTGAGTCTAGATCACAAATATTTGCTATCGGAAGAATCAATATTCCAGTATCGATCCGCACATCACTATTTTTAGGTATCTGACGCTTCCTTACTATCAGTCAGACTTAAAGCCAGAGCAGGATGGTATCCGGCAGCTTCACCTTTTTCGGCATTATTCTTTTGTGCACCTGCTCTGCTTCACCGCCGAATTTCGTCCTAATCTTCGCTGACGATTTAGGTTTCGGGGACTTGGGCTGTTATGGACATCCTAGTTCACGCACTCCCAACCTGGACCGCCTGGCAGCTGAAGGGCTCCGATTCACAGATTTTTACAGCACCTGCCCCGTGTGCACCCCGTCCAGGTACCGGTGTAATCAGTACTGACTGTTGGCGTTTGTGAATAAAACAGAAATCAATCCGAGACTTAGCTCAACAGTTTTTTTAAACTTTAAAGTAATGAAAGTGGCCGTGAAGTATGTTCAAAAGGTTCTGTTATTCATTTATTTATTGTTTTTTGTTTTGTTTTGTTTTTCAAGTCGATTTGATCCTAAATTATTCTATAAAGTTGTAACTGACAAATTATTAATGGGCTCATTAATAAATAAGTCATTTTAATGGTAGACTGCGTTATTGTATATATTGTGCATTAAATAGTTCTGCATTAATCCACTTAATATCTTTGTAGAACTGTTATGTTATATTTATCGCGGTTTCTGCTGTCCTCTTGGTCTACATTCTTGAAAAAGAGATTTTTTAATGCCAATGAGCATTTTACATTCATAATTAAAACATATATAAATGCCTCTTTGCAAAAAAACTGATTCTGAATCTCATGACACAAATGTTCCTCCTGGCTTAAAATCGCTTAATATCGTTGACATCGGTGACAAGACATATGTTTAACATGTGTTTCAAAGGTTATAGGCCAACCAGTCATTTCTAACAGTTTATTCTAGCAGTTCCAGCCACCATTGCTCTCTTCCAATTTGTCCTTAACTTCATCTCACTCTTATTGCCTGTTCTTATTGTCCTTATCTTCAACTTCATGCTGCTCTGTTGTATGTTAATTGCCCCTTGGGGATAAAAAAAAAGTCTTCTGATTCTGACATAGCTATTGAGGTCCTATAGTAATATAAAGTATTATTAAAATGGGAGAGGAGTAACTTTCTTCTAAAACTGAGTATTCTTGGTTTGAGAAATGGAAGATCAAAAACTTTTTCCAGTAAATTAATAAATTAAAAAAATGAAAATACATTTTTTAAAATTTAATTAAGAAAAAATCAACAGAAAAGTGGGAAGACTTGGGAGAAACTGAGAAAGGGGGCTAAAAAATACTGAGACGTGTCAAAAACAGGAAATGTTTATGACGGGTGAGATAACGGTGGCATTGGGGAGAGAATGATTGGACACTAGGAAGAGAACATCAGAGTTTATAGTTTCACCTGGCAACTTCATTCAACTACAAATAATGCTGTAGTCCTGTGCTTTGATGCAATGTTTCCCGCTGCAGAAAAAAATAGTGTATTAATAATGTATTAATAATCAATATCAATAATATTCCAGTGTTCAGTCTAACAGCCCCAGGTTTGTGGCTCAGAGTTTTAGTCGCCCATGTATAATTGTATTGTGCTGCAGGATGAGACAAAGAAACCTTTTAATTTCTATATTTGTAAGTATTAATATAACTTAATTCATATTATATTTATATTTTCTATCATCTAAAAATCCAAAATAATGTTACTTAAACCTTCAAATAAGTATGGTCTCGTACACTCCATGTACCCCCACCCAATGCTTGTTGCAGCTATTGCTGCCATATAAGATAGGACAGCTGCTGACAGCCTGTAATTTAAACATTGTAGACTAAGACTAAGTTAACATTTCATCTGCATATATTATTGTAACTTCTACAGATTTACTTAGATTTGATTGATGATAAGGTGGTTTGATGTAGGACTCCTGCCAGTTTTTTCACTATAAATGTTTAATGGTGGTTACAGTAACAAGCACTGCTGTTTTGGACCCTGGAAAAAAAAATTACCCACTACACTTGAGGTCACCTCTTGGCAGTGACTCCACCTCTTTGCTCCTCAACATGTGTGTATACAAAATCAATCTTGTAATCAATCTTTTTATAGAAAAACCAGGGCCTACATGGGCTTAATGTAATGCTTGTCATCCACAGGCATGCTCTTAGATATATTTCTATTGCAGGTCTGTATTTAGTAGTAAATGTGTTAAGAGTTGTGATAGAAGAGGTATGCAAGGCTTTGAAGAGCTCCGACACTCTGCCCTTTTTATTGATCTATCAAAAGCCTTTGACACTGTTGACCATGGCATTTTATCTCAGGGGCCATTAGAAATATGACTTTCAGACCAAGCAGTTGGCTGGATTTCAAATTACCTTTCCCACCGTAGGCAGTATGTGCAGCTCAATGGTCTCTCTTCCAGTTTTTTAAATGTCATCAACGGTGTGCGGCAGGGTTATTTACTTTTTATGTTAATGACTTGGGACAAAATCTAAATGCGTCTGTCCATTTTTACGCAGATGATACAATTATTTTGCTGTTGTGCTCATATTGTCAACGTGGTTTTCGAAAATGACAGTTACCTTTTGGTTGAATACAGTCACAGAGTCAGCTCAGACTGGTTGTAAATGCTGAAACACAAAAGTGCCTGCAGAAAGAGCATGCTTGCAGTACATACAAATACTTGGGTTTTGTGATTGATAAAAATCTTTCCTTTAAGCCACATATTGACTTTGCGCATTGAGTCAATATTTGTTAATGACTTGGGACAAAATCGAAATGCATCTGTCCATTTTTACGCAGCTGATACAATTATTTACTGTTGTGCTCATACTGTCGATGTGGTTTTTGAAAAATTACAGCTATCTTTTGATTTTATACATTCATAGTGTCAGCTTTGGTTTTAAATGCAGTAAAAAACAAGGTTGTATTTTTCTCAAATACAAAAAGCATGCTTGCAGTACTTCCCTCTCTTGTATCTGCTAAAGGCATTTCTATTGAAACTGTGGCCTCATACAAATACTTAGATTATTATCAATCACAATACAATATTATCTGTTTCTCTTGTTGATATCGCCTTTTTTTTTTACCTCTCCTAGATTATGATGATACAATTTACATGTCTCTCCACATTCTGCCCATCTGTGTACTCTGATTTATCACGGGGCATTAAGATTTATAATTGGCTGTAAACCTTTAACACACCATTGTACTTTATATTCTTTGGTTTACTGGTCCTTATTGGCCTTACCCAGGATGGTTCATTGGCATCATCTTATCTATAAGTTTGTGGTTTGCTTCCCTGTTATTTATTAGATTACATGTCACATAAATAGTTTAGTCACAGCCTGTGGTCTGGACTTTATTACATTCACCATGCATCAGTTCATACAGAGCTCAGAAAGAAGGTATTCTCCTTTTCTGCTCTGTCGTCATGGAAAACATTACAGAAGCTCTCTCAATTGATTTCACTTGCAGACTTTAAAAGACATAGAAATTACTTTGTGAAATCATTGCTGAGAACCTGTTTTTTGATATGACTGCATAAACATTAGCCATTTGTGCTTTTTTATTGTTTATTTTATTGTTATAGTTTTAATATGTTTGTCCGAAACACGTCTCTTTTCTACATAAGACACTGAGTCTACCTGTATAAATAAAGCTCACATAAAATACATTTAAAAAATGAAGCATTTAAACAAAAATGATTTTTTAATTAGGTTTTCTCAATGATTCGCTGCAGCTTGAATTGATAGATCTGAGGTAATGAACATGGATCAGTTTAAATACCTGTGGTTAACCGTACAAAGCAACAGACTTTGCACAAAAGTGGTGAAGAAGAAAGAGCAGGCTGGGTGGAGTAGGTGGAGATTAGTATCAGGGTTTATTTGTGATATTTGTGATAGCACAAACCACACATTATCTCCTATGAGGTGTGGTTTGAGATCAATGACACTAACAAAAAGATATTAGGTGGTGCTAAAGGTGGCAGCGTTGAACAAGACTTTCATTGGGAGTGACCAGCATAGAGAGAATGTAAAATGATTTTTCAGCTCAGATTTAAAGACGGGGGGTGGTAGGTGAGATGGAGGAAAGCGATCTGCTGTGGTGACCGCTGAAGGGAAAGAAGAAAAGATTGCTGTGATTCTTCGATGGAAGAAAAGCTTAGATGACGGAATTAATATTTGAATATAGAGTAATTATTTTCAAATTTCATTAAGTACATGAAATTTTTGTTGCTGCCTCGAAACTTTTACTTTGACATGCAACCAAAGTGATGAAATCTTCCCTACATGTCCTGTAGTTTTTCATCTTCCATTGTTGGATGAATTGATGCAGTGAGTTTCTTTAGGCCGTTTTCCTAAGTGAAGTAAGAGTATTCAAAATTACCCCACTATCTTTTCCACTGTTAATTAACTGCCTTGTTTGTTGTTTTTTTTCCAAGGGCATCATTGTTGACAGGTCGCTATCAGACCCGGTCAGGAATCTACCCAGGCGTGTTTTACCCAGGATCTATAGGTGGTCTTCCTCTCAATGAGACCACCATCGCTGAAGTGTTAAAGCCCCTGGGCTACGCCACAGCGATCATAGGAAAGTGGCATCTAGGTGTTGGGCATAATGGCATGTTTCTTCCAACCAAGCAGGGCTTTGACCATTTCCTGGGGATCCCATACTCCCATGACATGGTCAGTGTGTTTCCAGTCTGTGCTACTTAAAATTGCTTCATGAAATTTCTTTTCTTTGCTATATTCACTTTACTATTCTTCACTCTGTACTGCTGTCTGTTATTTTTTCTATCTTGTCTTTTCTTCCCCAGGGCCCCTGTAAGAATCTGACTTGTTTCCCTCCAGATATAAAGTGCTATGGATTGTGTGATATTAGCAACGTAGTCGTCCCACTAATGGAGAATGAGGTCATCAAGCAACAACCAGTCAACTTCCTGGATCTGGAGAGGAGTTACAGTGACTTTGCAGCAAACTTCATAACCACATCGGTTGAGAAAAAACAACCATTCTTCCTCTACTATCCATCACATGTGAGCAACAAGAGCAATCTGAAGAAAATGCATGAATTAAAGTGTGCAAAATCAACCTTCTATTGAATGCAATCAAAGCTTTGGTTCGTCAGCTCTTTGAATGCCTAAAAATGTGTTTTCAAAATGGTAAATATCGGGATAATTCAAAATTTTCTAGTCCTCTGGGGATAGATTCTGGTCCCTCAATAATCAATGTGATGTGCAATACCACTGATTTCCTTTCTTATCCCATATCAAGTAAAATCAGAGCTGGTATCAGTGATACTCATCCAATACCTAAGCTTTGAACAAAAACTTAATGTGTTTGGAAAACCGAAAGTTCTGTATTTTCAAACTATATGTTCATAATGAGTACCAGAAATCAGACTTCTTCATATTGTAATTATGAAGAATTATCACACAAGAAACAAACCTGAAAAGTCAACTCCTGCATTTTAAAACATTCAGTAAACAATTAAAAACAAATGTGACTGATCTAAAATAATAATAAAGTTTAAAAACATTTTTTTATATATATGTCATTATCTATGTTTTGAAATAAACAATATAAATATCAAATATTTTGAGTTGTTTTTTTATTTCTTAAAGCCTACAATGACTATTTTTGATTCTAGTGTCTGGAAAGGATTCCATCATAAACGAATTTTTTTTTACCCCAAATTACTGAAATACCAATATTCTAATAGGGGAATTGATTCTAGAACATAAATATCTGGTATCGGAAGAATCAATATTTTAGTATCAATCCTAACAACAATAATAACCACTTGTTTTCTTGCTTCAGCACACCCACTACCCGCAGTATGCAGGTATAGGGGCAGCTGGCCGATCTTTAAGGGGTCCGTACGGGGATTCCCTGCTGGAGTTTGACAACAGTGTAGGCCACCTGGTGGAAACTCTGGAGAGGACAGGAGTGATCAACAATACATTGGTCTTCTTTACATCAGACAATGGGTTGGTTTTCAGTTTATTATCATATTTGTTGCTAATCTATGAACTGTATTTATTGTTATTCCATTTTGGTATCTCATTTAATGAGCTTAAAAAGGTGACTGGACTTCTTTATGTTTAAATCTTTAAAGATCAAAGAACACTAATTCCAATCTTTTTTAAACTCTTAAGACTACTATGACGTGTATGACTGAGACATATTTCATTCAGTAACTTAAAGACAACAATGAAGAGAAATGCACTAGAGTTTTGGAGTTTAATTCCTCATGCTGACATTTAACCACCCTCCAGAAAAAATATTTTTCCTCTGTTCAGTAGTCAAGTTTCTAACAGTCTTTGCACTCTTGTGATAATATTGCATTTATCATGTTTTATTAAATGGTATCTGTTTTCTTTCTCTGCATGTAGGCCTGAACTGATGCGCAGGTCCCGTGGAGGCATTGCTGGTCCTCTGAAATGTGGCAAAAGTACCACATATGAGGGAGGCATGAGAGAACCTGCCATCGCCTACTGGCCGGGAATCATCAAACCAGGTCAGGACATTTTAGTGGTCTGCAAAAAGTCTAGACTACATTATCCTTCAAACACTAAAAATCCTGACCCATCCTTGATCTTGCCACACAGTTTGGTTATATTTAGTTTTACCTGCATGGTTTTTGGTGCCAGACAACTTGATCACCATTCAGATGGTAAGATCAGAAATTGCTATAAATACCATTTACAGCCAATACAGCATTTCAGGCTGTTGGTTGTGGTGCAGTGGTGTGAGAAATACGTTTGGCACCTTAGTACTAATTGAGCATATGTCAAAGCCTTTCTGCGATCAGAACCTCTGAAGACTGTTTGCAGCACCCTGTGTAATCTAATGTATGACTGTAGTTCTGAAGGTGTTGTTTGTTTGTTTATTCCATGAGCATTGCCTCTCTCTTTTTCCAGCATCAAAGTATACTATAATGAAAACAAAAATGTAGCCTTTAGTGATTCTTTTTTTGAACAAATTGTTTGAAGGTGTTACTCATGAGATGGCCAGCACTCTAGATATCCTCCCCACATTGGCGCGCCTGGCAGGAGCTGAACTACCACAGGTGATGCTGGATGGGGTCGATATGACGGATATCCTCGTTAAACAAGGAAAGGTAGGAGCATTGTATTTAAAGTTGTGCAAACACTCAAATAATGAAAAAACCAAGCTCATGTGTGTATTTTCTCTGTGTTTTACAGAGTAAAAGGGAGACCGTGATGTTCTATCCTGTAAATCCCAGTGAAGACTATGGCCTGTTTGCTGTAAGGCTGGGGAAGTACAAGGCCCACTTCTATACACAAGGTACTTATTAATTATTACATGCTCACACTGTCAAACTTTAGCTGGTCTTGACTCCTGCTTGTTCACTTTTGTACATCAGGTGCTTTCCATAGCAGTACTACACCAGACAAAGACTGCTCAGCATTGCGCAAGACTCACGACCCTCCTCTGATATTTGATCTGGAGGCTGACCCATGTGAGCTCTATCCTCTATCAGTAGATACACCTGACATCCAATCTGTGCTGCAACAGGTCAAGACAGTTAAGGAGCAATTTGAATCCTCCATGGTGTTTGGAGAGAGCCAAATGGCAAAAGGAAAAGACCCCAGCCTCGAGCCTTGCTGCAACCCTGAGTGTAGCCCCAAACCTAGCTGCTGTCAGTGTTGATGAGAAACATTGCTGCAGCTCCTAATGACAATAAAGAAAGGGAAAGTTGAACTGCAGTGCTGCTCTCTTGTAGAGAGTGGAGTTTTAATTGCTAGAAATTAAGAAGCAGTGTAAAGGCAATGTGCTTCCTTAGTGAGGAGATGATCTTCCAAGATTTAATACTGTCTCAATTCAGAAATAATGTTTAACAGTGTACTGTATTTTCTTTCTTCTATGCTTTGAGTATTTTATTCTTTGATTTTTTTTAAAATTTATTTCCACTTCGGGAATTCTTTGTAAGCCCTTTTCACTCACACAATTAGGATTTAACCAAACAATGAGGACAACAATAAAGGTTCAGACATCAAGCATATATTTTATTCATAAGACCAAACCCATGACAAGGCGAATGATTTTTTTTTCTTTGTTTTCCCTTGAACTTTACAAGTCCTTGTTTTTAAAGATACAAGATAAGATATGTTTGTTCTGTCACATACTCTTTTGCTCTAGGTATACAGTGAAGAATCCTGTTAAAGTAATAAAGTCAAAAGTTGATTTAACTGTTGAAGTACTTCTGAGCGGCTATATTGGACTAGATCTTCAGTGGTTGCTCTTGTGTAGCTGTGTGAAAAGAAGTATTTTAACTAGGCTGTAACAAGATAGAAAAACAGAATCAGAGGCAAGTAGATACAGATCAGAGATGGGTCACACTGTTGGAGCTCAAATGCGATTACTATAATCGGCAAGACACAATAATAGTTTTCCAGTGGCAGCTGACTGAGTCACTATTCAGCTCTAACAGCAGATTGGTCAGTAGTTTGGTTGTGTGTCACACACTAGTGATGTCACATTTCACAAATGTGCCCTAAACGTGCTGCTGCTGAAGCCTGTTTGTAGAGAGTTATGGAGTCTTCAGGAACCTGAATGCCAGCTGTGTGACAGACTGAGATTACACCGTGTGTTAAAACATGAAAAGACACTGAAATAAAATTATTGCAGATCACAGATATTTGTGTGTTTTTCGTTCAGGGGTTTTCATCTGCTCGTGATCTTTTTTAAACTTCTTTTTAATTCATGTACATATTCATTTTCATAACATACTCAACATAAAGGACACAGCACTATCATAGATTTGCTATTGTATATACACGATCTAACTGACAGCAATACATATGTAGATAATACCCTCTCTCCTGCCATGTCAACTTTCAGTGAATCTTTAACACTGAAATCCTGCAAATAGGATGTGTTTTTTCTGCTGGACTGACTGAAAGCAGCATAAAAAGATGCTAAACAGTGTCAGAGAGAACAATGGGGGTGATTGGGGAGGTGGGCTTCAGCTACTCCCACCTCCATATAAGGTGCTTGACTGCAAGCCATGGTTTGACGCTCCAACCTCCTTCATTCACCTATTGTGTGACAGGTGAATGAAGGTATAATTAAACGTGGAAACGCATCACTCTCCTTGTTCACCATGCTTAAACATTAGATAAATGTCCAACCATTAACAAAAGTGTAAATCTGACATTTTAAAGGTTTGACTCCACTGGAATACCACGTATCAGCAGGACACTCCCCTATCAATCGATCTAGTCATTCCTTTTCCCTCATTGAAACTGAAATGGAGACCAGGAAAGCACTGAAAGGCAGAGTTAAACAGTCAGAAATGTGAAAATATGGCTTTTCAGAGGGCCTTAGCTTTCTTTCATCTAAAAGTGGCATCAGCCATATAAAGCACACACTGATCTAATATTTTGCAACTGTACCAGCTGGATGACTTGCTATTGAAGCTCTAAGAGCAGTGCAACTTTGAGAACAGGAGAGAAGTAAATTTGCTCTGTCATTCAGATTTGCTGAGAGTTACTGTCCCTAAATCCAAAATGAATATATCTGCAGAGCAAATGACATTCAAAGTTCATCTGAAGTCAACTCATCGAACCGCTCTGAAAACTGCAGTTAATCCTGTCAGAGCGATACATCAAAAGCAAGAACAAAGTTTCCCACCTTCAGTCTCAACTGTGAGCATTTCTTAATTAGTCTGAATGAGGCGCCTGAATGTCTACTCTCTATACATGTATTTACAACACACTACGATTTGTACACAACACAGGGGTAAGCTTGGACCAAGGACCGCTCGCTGTACTCTGTCTCTCTCTACTTTGCTCCAATGTCACTATAAGTATAAATTAAATGACCTGTTTTTCAGTATTGAACAAAAACATATATACAGTTAACTCAAACGCCGACGTCTTGATTCGACACCATTCCTTTACTGATTGTTGAGCTGCTTGCCATTCACTTGGATATGTGTATTTCTTGGTGTGTCTGTGTGCAGTAATCCTACTAGCCATGCATTGAAAAGTGATACAGCAGTAGTAGGTACATTGTTTTCATCTCAAAAGAAGAATCTTGAAATAAACAGGTGCTCAGCATCTTAATTTTTATATCATAGAAAAAGATTAACTAAACAGGCAATCAATCCATTGAGATCATGGAAATAAACAAAGAGAAAGGGATGAATGAAATCAGTCAGATGTCTAGCATACTGTAGAAATGAAGATCCCAGGTTTAGAGGGACAGAAGAGTATTTTACAATGGAGCGAAAAAAGAAAATCCCCACTGACAATGCCCTCTGGTGGCAAAATTGATGAACATACACAAGCTGTGGAGGAAGAAAGTTGTCATGGCAACATTTCTCACTCCAGGTAGATGTCCTCAGTGGGGCAGGCGTATTCCAGATGCTCTTGGTAGTACTCCTGGAAGGCTCGTCTGCAGAAAATACAGACATATGAGGACTAAAGATTTACCTGTGAGATAGTATTAAATAATTTTAGATTCAGTTTTGTACGGCTGTTTAGTGTTTCTGATGTTTCACAATGTTTGTGTGAAAGACACAAAAACAGAAGTTGTTTTTCACAAATTCTGGTTGACTTAATGGTGAGAATCTGATGGATGAAAGATTTCTGCCACCTCCTCTTAATCCAGCCTCAGAGAGTGGGCTAATGTGCATCTTTAATTATTCAAACACATTGTGGCTGAATAATACATGAGTAATTCTGCTGCCATTTAACCCTATACAGGTACACACACATATGGCTAGTGTGCAAATAACAAAAAAACCCCAAACTGGATTGCTGTCAAGCATTCTGCAAAAGAAATTTGTAATAAAATGCACTTTAATCCAGACTTTGAGATCAGATTCCAGCAAAGATATGTGCAAGTAGTAGCTGAATAGTCATTTTTATTACTTAAATATGTCAAATTAAGCACCGTGGCTTCTACTGTAATATATACAAAAAATGCAAAGATCCCTTAGTTTGAGAACTTAAACGGTCAAAATTTTGTGTTTTTTGAGAGTTATTTTCTAATGATTTACTTTAATTTTATTTATTTATTTAATGTATTTGTTTTTTTAGTTAAAATACATAACAAATTGGGGGTTTTTTTCTTCTTTTTTTTTGTAGCTACGGCCCTCAGCGGGTGTGGAAATGGACATACCCGACACATTCTGCTACAGGTCGCATTGACTCCTGGGACACAAACACATGGCAAGCAAATCTGTTCAGCATTGGGTGCTTAGTGATGAAGCCAAAGTAGCTGCAGAGAGAACAAAACAGTGTGATGCAATCAGTCGGATGTTACACTGTACGGTGGTAGCAGGATGGGCAGAAGATGGATGTTTGATTACCAATTGTTCCTCGGATGGCATCCACAGAATGAGATGTTCTTCATCTGGAAGAAGTGACTACATCTGTCATACTAAATATAGACAGAGACAAAAAAAAAAAGTAGAGTTCAGTCACTGATGAAGCAGTGCAACATAATCCCAAAGCAAAGGGACAACCGATTACCTGAGTAATCATGTCATTTATGTTTATTTGTCTAATACCTCATCAAGGGATTCATATTCATCCTCCAGGCTCATAATCAGTTTGACTCCTTGCAAGCTAATCTCCAGCTCACATAGAGAGGGAGGTCGCACATGTACCGTCCGTTTTCTCGATATTGCAATCTAACACAGAGAGAAACCACATTTGTATCCTGCCCATAGTAAACAATCCATAATAGTAAAAGTGTAAATGTGCTTTTCTTACCTTCTGCATAGCAGCACAGAGAATGCCGTTGCCTTGGTGATAAGGTACCTCAACAGACCCCAAAAACTGCACGCTGAAAGTTTCAATCCACGCTGGATTCCTTTTCATTCCTACGGAGTGTAATATGCATAGAAAATGTGATCGTTCTGTGTGTTTCGAATAAAAAAGCAAAAAAAATAAATAAGCCGCTGTATTCTTGCACTCACCCAGCAGCTCTTTGGATTGACCTATGACCTCATGAGCATAGAAGGCAGGGAAGATGCCCCTCTCCCCTGTCCGCATGTTATAGCCTCTGTACCAGTAGTCGTCCTCTTCTTCCTCCACGTATAAGGGATCATCCACATCCAGCTCCAGCTCATCTGCATGCCTAGGAATGAACCTGCAGAGGGCAGCAGAGAAGTCAAGGAAAAAAAAGGAAACTGCCTTTGTAAAAAGATGTTTTCTTACATGATGTTCCTGCTCCTATAAACCTGAGTTATTTTGATCTTTTATGGGTTTTAGGTGACTCCCTGTGGGAGGCTTTGATGAAACAGCTGGGAAAGAAAGATAATAGGGTGGGTAGAGGAAGGCAAAGAGTTGTAAATATGGGGTATTTTGAATGAGACCTATGGTTAAAAAAAGTGAAATTATTTGTACACAACATGTACTGTGTAATACCGAGGCACTGTTTGCCTTTTCTTTTCTTGTCGTTGTCTTTATGGTTGGCAAAGAGACGCATGTGATGTCTTTGTCTTCCTCCCCAAAATAATTAGTGTTGCCCAAAAGTTGTTTCTGTTCATCTGGACACGTTTTCAGTGGGAGAAACGTTTCGTCACTCACGTGATTTCTTCAGTCTCAGCTGACTGCAGGTTTCCCCAATCTTATAAACAGTACATTTGCATAATGATTTAAACTATCACCACTGAAGGAACAATGGGCTGGGAGGTCAGCCCATTGGGAGGTTGACCTCCCAGCCCATTGTTCCTTCAGTGGTGCTAATTTCAGGCTTGAGTTTGTTTTACCTGTAGACTGCTCTGTGTGTCTGGTCCCTCTCTTCTCCATTGATGGTACAAGAGAAAAGTCCAAAGGATTCTGTGCCTGCATGGGAAACAGATATGACTGAGATTATTTAAAAAAAATGTTGTTTTTTTCTGTAACCTGTTGTTTGTTGAGGAACATTT